CCGACCAAAACCGGGGTGGGTCTGTTGGCGTCGGGGGTTCCTCGATAATTCTAAATACATATCCACCTCTTTTATTTCTGGTTAGGGATTTTCCCTCTTTTCCATTTTTGGGAACCTTTCTCACTCCCACTTTCTCACCATACCTCTGAGGGGCGTGAACTGCCCTCCCCACTTCTTCGTAGCAGCTTCTCATACTTATACTCTGGATGGGCGTTGACAGCCTTCTTTTTGTGCGTCATGTGATCACCACTCGACCAATGAGGTCTTGGTCAGGTATCTTTCCTCCTCCTTCGTGCCACGTGATCACCTCTTGACCAATGATGTCTTAGTCGGGCGTGAACAATCCGCTGGCTTTGTTTCGGGGAAAAAAAATATCTTGCTTAACTAAAAAAAAAAATTATCTCTTCTCTTTCCTTTTTTCTTCCTTTCAATCACCGTTATCACCCTTCTAGTCGCAAACGGACAATATGACAACTCTTGTTTTACACGTGGTATTTGTCAGGTATTTTATCGCTAATTTATCAAGATGGGTGGTCTTCTTAACATGGCTTCAAAAAAGAAATATCCCCAAAGTTTTCAGTCAGTCTGTCGCCTCCAAGGAAGAAAGAAAAACACTTCTGGGTCCCCATTCATTTTCCCTTGGTACATATTCCTGATAAAATAATTTTATTATCGCAGGCCAAAGTTGTTTCGTCGAAAAAAATTCGGTCAGCGGCACTGCTTGTGTGGCATTTATTTTTCATATGTGTCCAAAGTCCTTTTTTAGTGGCCTGTTTTTCGTCACTTATCAAAAATAGCATTTTCACTTGAATTTTTCCCTGGCCAGTGGTCCAGCGTTTTGTTTATACCTAGATAACACAGCCGTTATCAAAACACATTTGATTCCTTCTTTCTTTCCAATAATTTTTTTTTTTTTTACTCAGAAATTCCCTGTTATTGTAATGATAACCCTTTTTCATTTGTTACTTATCAATATTTTCATTGTCTCTTAGCCGTGTGTGTGGCTGCTTATCACCCACGATTCGTCTCGCCTTTTCTTTTTCTACCTTTCTTTTCTTTCTCTTCCTTTCTCTGCCTCGTAAATGGTGCCACACAGTTTTGTGAAAATCTTGCTCATTACTGTTCTACTCAGATTTTGTGAATGTACCATTATATGTTTATAAGTGGATATATCCATAAACTCTTATTAATGGCTTATTAATATTTAATTAGTATTTGAATTATGTTCAAGAAAAAGCAATATATATGTATTTAGATATTAGATAGTTATCAATTTTTTTTTTTCCTGACAGATTACTCCATGGTTGACAATACATAAGCAAGTTTTTAGCATATGGTTTTATAGGGTCTCCAAAAAATATAACAAAGCCAATGTGTCTATTATATCTGACAGAACTTTCTAATGATAGTTTGCACTCAAGTAAACTTAAATATCATCTGAAGAGTAAGCACAAGGATAAGAAAGACAAATCATTAGATTATTTAAAAAAAACTGTGATGATTTCCAAAGAAGAACTCTTAATATTCAGCAAATATCAGCATAAAAAAAGACTAAGATTTAATCGCATCTTATACAATTTTGAAACTAAAATTTTAAAAGCACATACTGTTGGTAAAGATTTGATTTTGCGTTCCATATCTGTGGCAATTTTTACTGTTATGCAAGAGTCTCTAACAAATTACCGATTGTATTTGATTTTGCAACAATACAATATCAAGATGCAACGATGAAATGGCAGGACATATATGAAAAATAACTAGTTGTATTTTTACAAGTAAGGAATTTCACATTACAGATTGATGAAACCCTTTTGAAACCTAATAAGCCATTCTTATGGTGTATGTTAGGTTTTTTGATGATAAAAGTGAACTCTGAGAGGAAATGCTTTTTGCTCATAGGTTTGTGACATTCTAAATGAGTAACAACTTTTAAAGAAGTATCAGACTATTTCAAAGAAAAAATATTCCAATGGGTAAAATCATAGCATGTGCAACTGATACTGCTGCTGCTATGACAGGTAGATACAGGGACTTTAAAGTATGTTGAAAAAAAATATTCCAATTGTATTTTGTATACACTGGTTCATTGACAACATTTCATTGCAAAAAATTTGGGTGGGCATTTGAAAAATGTTCTTGATAATGTAATAAAGGTTGTCAACCATATCAAGTCAAATCTGCTACAAGATTGTCTTTTCCATCAAATTTGTGCCAATAATGAAGAGTTTAAAAACTTGATTTTGCATACAGAGGTTAGATGGCTTTCTAAAGGTAATTGTCTGGGTCGTTTTGTTGAATATTACAGGCAGGAAGCCTTCTTTATTCTTGGCTACCACCATGTTTAGCATGGCAACCTCTTTGCTCTCCAAATGAAACTTTAGCTGAGGATCACCTGATACAACCTTCCTACTTCACTGCTAGGGATCACTAGTCTCCTGAAACTGGTTATTGCCATAAGAGGGGGGTATTGTTATGTCTTTCTGTGATAACATGCTCACTTGGGCCACTGAATCTCTTCCCATTGGTATATTCTCCTCACCCAATGTTAATGTGAGAGTATGTGGGGAAAATAGAAATGGTTTACCTCACAAACGCCCTCGCGTCTGCCTGGCCTGTGGGTTGAGAAAGGAAAGAAAAGATCCAAGATGGCGTCCGTGACTTTTAATATTCACGGTCTTGTGCAGTCATGCAAAGTCGCGTTACACACATGCTAATGAGGTGTGTCTGGGCTCCATAAAAGCAGGTTGCTTGGAGAAATTGGCAGAACGGCATTACACCCATGTTTGGTGTACACGGCTTTGCGTTGCAGCATGTCAGACATTTTCAGATGGAAAGAGTTGCGTCCCTTACACTGTTGAAGTCGACTCATTTGCTACAGAGTACTACGTCATTCGTCATTCTCCATCTAGGATGAATTCCCTATGTAATGTGGGTGAGATGTAAAATCTGCCAATATGGACCATTAACACTATCATCCAATCTACCGTCATTTCATTCCCATTTTCCTGGGAGATCACTAAATTTGCAGATCTTTGTCAGGCCCTGGTTACACCTAATCATTTAAATGTGACAGAACTTAATATAGATATGTTTGCACTAGCATCAATCAAAACTTTCATTCTCTTGCTGTTAATCTTAACGTCACATCATTGCCTCTTCAAACATCATCCCATACACTCTAGCCCTTTACAATCTTTTTTTTAAACCGTCTATTTTTTTGTTAGGTCCGTCCCTCTTGTCTTTCCTTGTCGCAAATCTATCTTTTCCTTCTTCCTGTCACTTTTTCTTAGGATTGTTGCTAAGCTGTGATTAGTTCAACAATTCATATGGATGTGCCCCTTTTTCCCAACAACCATTGCAGCATGTCTTCCTGCATTGTCTCATCACATGTCCCTCTCTACCACAAGTCCAGCATTTACATGTGAAGGTACAGACGCTTTTAATGTGTTGCCTTCTTCTAAAATTGTAACACTATCTCCCTACATCTCATCATATGACCATTCCTTCCACAGGCCCAACATTTTACTTTTTCCTTAGTCTTTGCCTCATTCATCTGGGGTGACCCTCCCTTCCATCCTAATCATTTTTTTCTTGGGTAAACCCTTAGCTTTTGTCCCTTAGGTGGGGTGCTTTCCTTTCAGGGTTGAAGGTAATATTCTATGTTAGCACTGCCTACCCATGTCCCAACCTTCCGCATTTACTATATTTGGGTTTACTTTAATCTACTGCTTCTGGAAGCAACCCTTGATTGGTGGGACACTCCTTAGCCCTAGGAACATCTCTGCTACACACAAAAACACATCAATCCATAATGTCCTGGAGTAGAGATGTACCATCCATCTCACAATGACCAACTTCCCTTATTGGAAGCCTCTTTTTCCCAATCTTCATGTTCCAGAGGACAATTAACTTAACATGTCTACCTTTTTCACACCCATGGCATACCTGCAGCAATGCAGCAGTGTCCTCTCTTCTTAATTCACCCCTAATGGTTAGTCATCCTAATTAAGCAAATATGCTCTCACTTGCACATACCTCCTCAAATGCCTCCTTCAAAGTCACTAGCCACCTTCTAGCTACATCTTCCCTTAACTGAGGATTTTGGAGAAAGTCAATAAAATAATCTACCAGCTGAAACCGTAAGGTCAGGTCAGATCTATTTCCTGGATCTGGGGAAGCTATCTCCACTAATGATCTTTGACATCAATTCCACTGGAGTCTCGTCATCCCTCTGCTTAATCCCTGTCAACACTCGCGTTGCTTCTGTGGGGACTAGCCAGGCTACTAAATTGGTTACTAAGTTTGGACTGCAATTCTGCCCAGGTTATCTGTTCGTTTTCTTTCAATAGTGACATCACAGTCAGAAGCTTTGTTCTTGCTATAATCAAGTGCCAGAGTGACCAGCTCCATGTTGGTCATCTCATATATGTTTTTTGTTGAGGGCTCAGAACCAGGCTTTGTCAGCTCTGCCATCAAAGTGCAGCAGCCTTGAACCTGTGACATTCACGTTCCCTGTTAACCTATTGGGAGCTTGTCAGGCACACAATATATCCTTCTCTTTTTTAGACAGAATCTTTTGCTGCCATTCTACTCACTAGCTGATCAAAAAAGAAAAAATTAGGAAATCACAAACAATCCAAAGACAACCCTCAGTGATACACAACTGATCAATGTTTCTTTTAGTTAAAACAAAATGAACAGGAGACAATTCAGTTTTTAATTATGTTTACATATGGATGTGCTTAAAATGTCTTTGGCCCTACCCTCTCTCAAAATCTGATAAAAAGAGCTAAGCATTAGAAATTTGTTTCCTGCAAGAGTTTCATGACTAGGTTTATAACTTTTTAGTACCCTTTATATATATATATTGCATCAATGACACTTTATTTGTTATTTTTACTATTATTTTTCAGCAATAACATTTTTTATGATAATTTTTATAAGTTATTTTCATATGAAATATTTAATACTGATTTTTCTCATAATTTTACTTGTTGCAGGCCAATGGAGTTTTTAAACTGCAGCCAACCACAAGATTTAGAAGAAAATGAAACAGCTAGACTTCTCCTTGGATATGGCTGTACAAAGGCAGGGCACTTAAAATTTTCTTACGTTTCTGATTTTTTGTTATATACATTTTTTTAAATTCTGATTTGAGTGTATAAGTAACGTTTTCACATAATTTAAAATTTTCTAAAATATATATTTTACATTAATGCATGAAATTGGAAGAATTTTTAGGATCAGAAAAACAAATTATCAATCTTATATTTCCATTTTTTTTTTCAGTTTGGAAGCCAAAATAATTTTTGTGTGATTGTGTCTATTTTCAAGTTTAAGCATATAATTTTGTTCTAGATGGGACACTCCTTTTCGACATATTTATAAATGAAAGAACCAAAAGTGGTGCTTAAGGTCCTTTAAATTAACATATCCTATTAAGAACCTTAATAATAAAAATTGGTGGTTTTTGGAACACAGCTTTGTTTTCCAGTTGCAAAGATTACTTGCTTTTAACTGCAACCAAATTTGTGACAACAAAATTGTCCTGTCTCTATGACATTAATATTGTCCAGAGCACATAACTCTTTATCCTTTCATTATTAAGGTATAATATTTTGACTTTCATGTTCATGAAATTGTGGCTGAACCAACAAAATGTCATAATTGGTCTATTTGCATATAATTTGTTTTCCTATTATTTGTTGCAAAATATACTGTCTGGAATATCTGGTATAGATCCCATTTTTAACCAATTACTTGGATATTTTTTATTCTAGTATCAATAAAAATATTTTCTAAAAATAAAATTTTAAAAAGTTGATAGGTGCTATACTTTTATTATTAAGAGTATTGTTTTTGTTAAGTCATCTATTTTTTGTTATTTTACAGTGGGGTGGTCGTCGATATGAAGATGTGCAGAAAACAGCTGTTTGGTGTACAGCTTTAGAAGGTGTAGAATGCTTTGGAAACAGAAAATTTCTAAAAGATGGTTTTCCATGTATCAAGTAAGGAATGATATTTTAACTTTTCACATAATTTTTATATTCATAAAACAGCTTGCACATTAATTTTTTCATTTGTATATTCAGAATTAATCAACTTTATTGTTTAGGTATTGTTATAATTACATATTAAGATGTTGAGGAAAGGTAGAGATTTTTCTATTTCAAATGAATTCAATGGTAGGTCCTATGTTAAATTTCTTTATTCTAACACTTTCGCCCCAGCCCCTCAACCTCCGATGTCTTACTCTCTGGGTTGAGGTGTCTACTCAGTTCTAACTGAACTTAAGGGAGTGGCCGTAGGTCTCCTGAGCATTTATAGATTATTCGACAGGTCCACTGGTTTAATCCTGCTTCCTGCCCACATTGTGTTTGGTTTAATCCAGACAGCAGAAGTGATGTTCATCCATTCACGTTCAACTGAAGATGTAGACACGGCTGGAGAATTTGCACTAAGAAATTTGGGATGCAGCAAAAAAAAAAAATAAATTAATATCTGCAGAAAGTCGGACAAACAACTATTCAATGATTGAATTGTTAATGTCTTTTATATAGCAGAAAAGAATAGTATAGAAAAGAAACAGGTTACAGAAAAGAAAAGTAATTGACATAAAGACGTATACACTGGATTCTGGACAGAGAGAGAGAGAGTGTGTTATGATTAACTTGTTGTTAAATCGTCTCCGAATGATATACGACTCTTGCGATGGGGTAATAAGATTTCTGTGTACAGCTTAAAGTTTATAGTAGCATTCCTCCTTAGCAGTAGTAACAGTAGTAGTAATATTCATGGTAGCAGAAGCAGCGGTACTTATATCAACAATATCTGTTAGCAGATGTGTTGTTCCAATCTCTGATGTCACTTTCTCTCCTTCTTGAGTCTCTAGCCCAACTCTTGCCGGGGCTAATTCTCTTCTGTCTCTCTCTTCCGTCTGTCTCTTCCATCTGTCTCTTCAGCATAACCACACGTTTATATAGATAAACCAGGCTGGTTACAACTGACCCTTGGCCCTACTACTTCGCACGTGATTATCACGGGGTTCTGGCTGCTTCAACCAAAATCATGTGAATTCCAACGTTCCTTCTAGCTTACTCAGCTCTATTTCAATTTTTAATCGCTGAAAATTATTTTGACCATTTCCATTATCTCCTGATGATCCAGATTCAATGGGTACAACTTCTGCCCTAGATCAAATTTCCACATCAGTAAACAAAATGCACTGATTTAATTTCACTATTCAAATCTATTCCAATTTCACTAAAAAAAAAAATATACGTGTGTGTGTGTGTGTGTGTGTGTGTTTTCCAAACTCTCTCTATCACATTTCCTCCCCTACCCACCTGTTATTTACTAGTAAATGACACACGAGCTTTCATATCAACAAATTACGAGAAAACCCAGTCCAACTTGCTTCTTACTAGGGATCTACTTAAATAAACGTCTCTTCCAGCATGCAAAGGTAGAGTCCTCAGTTCTTCTTAGAGCTCATTATGCCCATTTACATTTTCATTGTCCTTACGACAGATATGTACATGCAACTTCCGGTTCACTGTTTTGGTGTTCCCGTGCAATAGAACCTTTTCACATAGTTCACTAGTTCGAGTGTTCTTTCCTTTTCTTTTTTTTTGAATTCGCAACACTCCTTATTTCAGTCTCATTACTAAAAATGAAAAAAAAAATCGATTTACTTTGTAAATCTGTCCCTCCGATTTTGTCTCACCTTCACAACAGGCTTTATCGAATTTTTTGTTGGTTCAAGTCCTTCCACGACAATCGTGGACTCTTCTTCAATATCCTTTGGGGGTCCCAATGCACTCAGGTTGGACCTACCTTGGTAAAGTGCACTAAGTGGAATCCCTCTTTCACTCATGCACTCCTGTGCCAGTTTATTCTGCCTGGTCGACAACACTGCATGCCTCCGCAACCACCACTAAACCAGCAAGGCCATGACTATCATCATTATTATAATTCCCACAATGGTCGGCCAGGTTATTATAGGAACCAAATTCTCTCTCCAGCCCAAATTCAGTGTACCTAATTCACAAATATGCTTTTAAGTAGGCACCCAAGGGGGTCGTCAGTGATGTTTTTGACTTGGTTCATCAGGGACTTTCGGGTCTTTCAACATCATACTCCCCATCACCAAATCGACCCAATCAGGGGAGATCAACCCCTGATTCCCCCTTCCAACTAAACGCTAGCAGCCACTCTGGCCTTTTTAAAGAATAAGAGGAAGAAAGACCACATATTCCGCACATCTGATTGGATGTTTATAACAACCAATCCGGTGCGTGAAATATTTTTTAAATGGCCCGTGGTGGGGACTGGCTTCTTTTCTTATTTCGGTGGATGGCGGTTTCGATGGATAACCGAGGAGGTAATCTTAATGTTCCTAAATCTTCTCCTTAAGTATTGTATGATTTAATTCTTTGCCGTTTTTATTTTATTTGTACTTTTTCCTTTTCTTTTGGCGGGGATACTTAAACTCAACCCTATTATCATATTTTATTGTTTAGTCTGTTTCTTAACATTATTGCATGTTAACTTTTATTGGATGTATTCTCAAAATTAAGATAATAATTGTCTATAAATATATATATATATATATATATATATATATATATATATATATATATATATATATATATATATTTTCCCATACATACAAAAATGAAATTATAAATTAAAAATAAAATAAAATAAAAGTACAGTAAGCACTATAATATTCCTTAATATTGATTATATACAAATTTGAAGTCGTTAAATATAATAGACGACGAAATGATCTTGAAGTATATCAAGTATAAATGAAGCTTCATATTATAATTATATATATATATATCGCTTAAAACCGTTGACAATTAAACTAATAAAATAAAAATAATATACAAACAAATATATATATATGGTAATGATTGAGAGAAAAAACACTATAAATACACTATATACGTGGTTATGATTCCGATTTAAAATATATAAAAATGCGACATGTTCGTATAAATGTGAAACTGAAAAAGACAAAAGGTCCTACGTTACGTTCGGAAAAAAAAAAACAGATGAAAAGGTCTTACGTTCGAAAAAAAAAAAGAAAAAAAAAGGTAAAAAGGTCTTACGTTCGAATAAAAAAAAAAAAATAATGGACAATGTGTTAAGAGATGTGTCGCACCGAAACCACTAAAAAGTTAAATAGTAACTTAAAAAGTACCGCGTATAACATGGGTTTAACATAAAAACAACATATTTACAAATAGCACAATTTACGAATTGACGAGATATATTCTTTGGCTGTACTTGTACATATCAATTCGTATATTTACACACACACTCAAAATAAAATAAGTAAGTAAAATAAAAAATAAATTAAAGTACAATAAAAAAATTAATAAAAATGTTTACAATATTGCCATTTTGCAATTATATTAATAATATTTACAAATTTGCCCGGCTTGATGATTATTTGTTACATTGATGTCCAAGGGCTATCGCGCTTAATCCATAACCATTTTGCTGTCCTTTCTGCTGTATTAGTTAGGGTCTGGATCGCCTTTCTTTTGTTAGCACCTACTACGCCAATGTCCGTTAGAGCTTTTCATAGGGACCTTGCAGCGAAACCCCTTACACCTACTTCGATTGGAAAGCAGCTTGATTTCCACCTGTTGTTTTTGCAGCTCGCTATTAGTTCTTCATATTTTAACATCTTCTGTTCGTGGGCTTCTTCTGCATGCTCTTCCCATGGCACTGTTAGTTCCCACAATATTACTTTCTTAATGCTATTAGAGAAGAATACTAAATCTGGGCGTAAAGATGTTTGCACAATGTGGTGCGGAAATTTTAGTCTTTTCCTTAAGTCGACCCTTAATTCCCAGTCTGTTGCCAGTGACAGAGTATTTGCTATGTTCTTTTTTTTTTGGGGGGGGGGTTCTCACCAGCTCTATGAAACTCTATGGCTCTTTTATCTGTGTTTAAAGTATTGGTGCTGATGGCCATGCTAACTATCTTTGCTATATCTTTTAGGATTTCATCATGCCTCCATCTATACCGGCCTTCCGCTAGTGCTGTCTTACAGCTACTTAAAATATGTTTTAGACTTCCTGGACGCGAACACAAATGGCATAGTGGTGATTCTGTTTCATACCATCGATGGAGGTTGGTAGGACTGGGAAGGGTGTCATATACAGTCTGGATCAGGAACTTTATGTTGATGTCATTGCTCCATATATCCGACCATTTGATTTTCCTGAAAATCATGGATTCCCACCTTGTTGCTGTAGTCCTACCATCTTTGCCACCCTTTTCTCCTCCTCGCCCTTGCGTACATCTTCTTGTATTAAACGGTTCTTTTCTTTACCTTTGGCTCTGTCCACTCAGATGGTAGGAAAGAACCCTAGGCCAGCTCGTCCAGTAGCTACGGCGCCTAATATGGACTTTTCGCGAAACCTTTCTTTGGCGACACGCAATGTGTCCTCTGCTCTCCATTTTCTTCCTGAGTAGACTTCAATGCCTGCTCCAGCCACCTTTGGGTCTTTGGATAACTCATACTGTGTTATTGCTCTAATTTTGGTGACTTTGTATTCCTCTACTAGACTTCTGAAAGGAAGTTGCAGAGCATTTGTGTTGCCGTATAGAGCAGCACTGGTCAAACTCTTCGGTAGGCCTAACCATCTTCATAGTCGTGTGCTGATTCTTTTTTCTAATTGTTCTATATGAGATGTTGTAAATTCATAAATAGACAATGGCCATAAGATTTTAGGAAGAATGGCATGCTGATAAATCCAAGCTTTAAATCGGCCTGGCAAGCCGGATTTGTCAACTCTCTTTAACCATTAAGTTTCTAGTTTGTGTTTTGTTTCTTGGATTGCTGTTGCATCTTTTAGAGAGTGATCTATACGTTTTCCAAGGCTTTTTACGGGCTTTTCCCTAATTGTTGGTATGTTTCCCCCAGGTAGTCTGAATTGCTCCTTATCTACTATTTTACCTCTCCTTAGAACGAGTGATCTTGATT